TGGTAAAAAAAAAGCCTGATGGTTGGTGTCAGTGGGGGGATAATTAATAAGCCTTATTGTTTTTGTCAGTGGGATGAAATAAACGCAAATGTTGGTCTTAGCGGGAGCAAAATTACCACAAATCATTGGTGTCAGTACAGGCAAGAGTTAACAGTGGTAACTTAACTGCTTTGCCTCCTCTGGCTGGAACTTTACTGTCAGGCCTCATTCACATTTATGAATAGGGCCATCAGTGGATTCCTACAGCAGGAACCTGTGGAATCCTGTGGCTGGAATTATTATAATTATACAGGATAAAGGGAGGCAGTACAATTACAATACAGTACAGTAAAAAAAAAGGAGTGCCTTGCTCGTGGAGCTTACAATCTAAAGGGAGGGGGAGGTGGTACAAAAGGTAATAGCTGTGGGGCATGATCTGATGGAGGTGGCTGAAGTACAGTTTTTAGGTGGGGGTGTGGTAGGCTTTCCTGAATAAAGGAGCTTTCAGGGATTGCCTAAAGGCGGACAGGATAGGAGTGAACCAGACAGATTTGGGTAGGGAGTTCCAGAGGATGGGAGAGGTTCTGCAGAAGTCCTGAAGGTGACCATGGGAGAAGGTAACAAGGGAGCTAGAGAGCAAGAGGCCTTGAGTGGGTGATTTGTGTGATATCTCAAGATGAGGCTGGTGATGTAGCTGGGGGCAGTGTTGTAGATAGAATCGCAGGTGGTTGCGAACATTTGCTGCCAGGAAATCAGCTGTTACCTGCAGTTAGGGATGAAAATTGACTTTGGAGATGGTTTGTTTCCAGGACTGAACATCTGAAAAAAGATACTGCCACCAGAACACCAAGAGCTTTTTGCGTAAATCTGCCTTTATTGACATTGGAATGGCATGTCACCAACAGAGGTGCAAGGTTTCAGAACCACACAAGGTCTCTTCCCCAGGTAAGGTGACATGAAAATAGTGTGGTGTAAGATGGAGATATGTAACTGTTCAGGAATAATCCTAACTGCTGGTTGTATGGATACAGCCATGGCACCTGCCAGCCTGTCATTGTACAGGCTTCCTGATTGAAGCTGTTTACCACATGTGATTCCAGCCACAACAATTCACAGAGTTTAGCTGCAGGAATCCACGGACGCCTTATTCACATGTCTGAATGAGACCTTACTGTCGGTGGGAGATCTACAGTCCTACATAATATTGCCAGGTCCTGGAATGACCACCCTGCACAGAATCCTAATCCTGTGGGACAGCCTGGAACAGTGTCCGAAACCCAGGACTGTCTCATTTAGCCAGAATGTTGTAAAATGTTGGAAACCCCATAACTATCTGTCCCAGTGACACGTCTAGGATGAGTCTCCTCAGCAAGAACATAAACAACACTAAAAACATAACTTGGGTTCTAACCCTGCCCTACACTCTCCAACAACAATGAAAGTACGTTGTAGCTGCATTACAAAACTAAATAAACTTGAATGTCCCTGGAACATCCGTTGGGATAAAGTGAACACACACGGTGTGGGATAGGACTCCTTTAAGTAGAACTAAAGGCAAAATGTTTTGTTTTCATTTTGGCCCCTTTCACACGGACGTTCCGATTGGGTCTGACTGCCCATTTTTCAGATGGACCCAATCAGAACTTCTATTCTTCTCTATGGAGTGGTGGGTGTAAATGGACATGTGTCTGTTTACGCCCGCCGAAATCCAATCCAATTCAATCTGCTAAAAAGAGACAGATGGGGATCCATTCCCCTTCCGTCCATCGGATGGGATGGAATGGCAGTCAGATGGAAACGGACAGGCGGTCCGTTTCCATCCGACCGCCCATAGAGGACAGCAGACTGTGTCTGTGTCCGCTCTGCAGTAGCGGAGCGGATATGGACCTATCATCCGCTTGCTCAGCAGGGATCAGCGGAGAGATCCCCCACTGAGCAAGTGGATCCGCTGACGGGTCCACCTCGTGTAAAAGGGGCCTTTAGATAGGGTAAGTGAGGGTTATAACGCCTGTCAGATTTTTTTTTTTGCCATCTTTTCCATTGGGCAGATTTCCCTTCACTTCCTGTCTCATATGCCAAACAGGAAGTGAGAGGAAATCCCTCTGTAGTGAGGAAATTCATGGTTGTCACCAGACCTAGTGTCCCCGTTGGAAAATATCCCCATTATTCCTGTTATGCCCATATGGAAGAAAAATATATTTGAAATATATTTTAAAAATATTCTTCCCAAGCATATTGACATATATTTGAAATGCTACAATTTTGGCCATATTCAATATATTTCAAAATATATTTCATATATAAAAATATATATATACTGCATGTTCAAATGTGTTTTTTATATATTACAAAATATATATGAAAAATATTTTTTAAAAATATTTTTTAAATATATTCTTCAGATTTTTTTTAATATATAAAAAAAGTCATTTTAACATATATTTTTACATATATTTGTAAACGCATTCCAAAAACGTAGATTTGTATTTTTAAAGACATACAGTATATTTTAAATGTATTTTACATATATTTTGTAATCAAAACGCATTTCAACATGCAGTATATATATATATATATATATATACACACACACATATATATATATACACACATACATATATATTTATTGAAATACATTTTGAAATATATTGAATATGCCCAAAATTGTAGCATTTCAAATATATGTCAATATATTTGGGGAGAATATTTTCTAAATATATTTCAAATATAGTTTTCTTCCATGTAGGTGGGGACAACCCAAAAATTGGGTTTATTTTAAATTTTCACTTTAATTGATAATGGTAAACATGACAAAGAGAGGGTGAATCTCCCTAGCAGTAGCACAGATGGCAATAAAGACCTGACAGGGTTCTAGTCCCTCTCCAGTCTATCCAGCACTAAAAAAAAATCTTGCCTTTAGTTATACTTTTATTAGCTAGCTGGCCTCAGCATGGACACTGTGGTGTTTGTTTACTAAAGCTGCTTCACCCAGAATCTGGCAGCCAATCAGCCTCTAACCTCAACTTGTTCAATTAGCAATAAAACCTGGAAGCTGATTGGTTTCTCTGCAGAAGTGCATGAGGTTCTGAATGAAGCAGCTTTAGTAAACAAACCTCAGTTGGTCAAATTTTAAGCTTGGGTTCACACTGATGCTGTGTGGCATATCGCTTGTGATTCACAAGGAACCGCACCGCATTCCTGTGCAAATCACGTGAATTGTGTGCGGTGCGATTTTACCCATACACTTTGTATGGCTCAGCCTGGGTTCACACTGATGCGGTGCGGAATTTACAGCAGTTTCTGTACGAATTCCGCGCCGCATCACAATTACACCCTGTTCATGGGAACCTCTGTGGGTGTGTATGTAAACAACACCCCGAAATCGGTCCGCAAACCGAGGTGCGATGTGCAGAATCGGATCACATAGGTGTGAATCCCCATGCGATCCCATTCTAGTGTGGACCAAAAAAAGGGTCCTGCACAGGGGCGGACTGACAACTCATGGGGCCCACGGGCAATAGGGGATCATGGGGCCCCTGTGTCCTTGCCCAAACTCAAAAAAGACTATGAAAAAGGTACCAGGGGCATCTCATGGGGCTGCCTACTGACCCAAGGCCCTCGGGCAGTGTCTGAGTTTCCAAATGGTCAGTCCGCCCCTGGGACTCCTGCACCTTTTTTGGTTCAGATGCAGTGCGATTGGAGCCATATAAAATGTATGCCTCCAATCGCACCGCACACAAATCACGTGATTTGCACTGGAATACGGTGCAGTTCCTGTGCGAATCACATGTGATATGCCACCGCATCTGAGCCTTGGTTCACACTGATGCGGTGCAGAATTTGCAGCGGTTTCTGTGCAAATTCCACACTGCATCACAATCGCGCCCCATTCATGTGAACCACTGCGGGTGTGCATGTCAAGCTACCAACACCCCAAAAACGGTTCACAAACCGAGGTACGATGTGCAGAATCAGATCGCATAGGTGTGAATACCCATGCGATCCGATTCTATTGAGGACCAAAAAAAGGGTCCTGCACCTTTTTGGTTTGGATGTGGTGCAATTTGAGCCATATAAAATGTATGGCTCCAATCGCACTGCACACAAGTCGCATGTGATTTGCACTGGAATGCGGTGGAGTTCCTGTGCGAATCACATGCGATATGCCACATCGCATCTGAGCCTCGGTTCACACCGATGCGGCGCAGAATTCGCGATTTCTGTGCCAATTCCACACCGCATCACAATCGGACTACGTTCATGCGAACCGCTGCGGGTGTGCACGTCAAATTAACAACACCCCAAAAACGGGTCGCAAAACGTGGTGCGATGTGCAGAATCGGATCGCATAGCTGTGAATACCCATGCGATCCAATTCTAGTGCACACCAAAAAAAGGTCCTGCACCTTTTTGGTGCGGATGCGCTGCGATTTGTTCAATGTGATATTTGGAACACACAGCTCACTACAAATCAGGGGTGGACTAACAACTCATGGGGCCCCCGGGCAATAGGAGATCATGGGGCCTGTGTCCTTGCCCAAACTCAAAAAAGCCTATGAAAAAGGTACCAGGGGTATCTCATGGGGCCCCCTACTGACCCCGGGCCCTCGGGCAGTGCCCTATTTTCCAAATGGTCAGTCCGCCCATACTGCACCCTATTCTATGTCCTATCTTAGCTCAGGCCATGCAGGTTGCTGTCATGCTGCGCGCGTTGCACTGAATAATTTTAACCTCATGTAACTCCTATGCTCCATGTTCAGGTTTACTTTCTCAGCCGCACATGCGCAGTGCTGGATGCTGTCATGCTGCGCGCGTTGCCTTGCCATGAATACTTTTGACCTCGTGAGGCTCCTATACTCTGTGTTCAGGCTTACTTTCTCAGCCGCACATGCGCAGTATTGGTTGCTGTCATGCTGAGCGCGTTGCCATGAATAATTTTGACCTCGTGCGGCTCCTATACTTTGTGTTCAGGCTTACTTTCTCAGCACATGCGCAGTACTGGTGGCCGGACTAGTAATCATGGCGGCGTTCAAGGCTGGGTTGTTGGCTGCTATGGCTCGCAGCGCTTCCCGGGTGCCCATCGCCGGGCCGAGGGGCAGAGTTGGCTGGTTGTTGCCCTATTCCAGTGTGAGAGCAGTGTGGGTGGAAATGTGAAGTGTGGACTGTCTGAGAGCTGGGGAGTCCAGAGACCTTCATGTGGGTAGGAGTCACCTTCACCCTGTACATGACAGCCTGAGGATCGCTGGCCTTCCACCTGACAGGAATGATCACATCAGGACATGGACCCAAGGGCTAAGTGACATGGGAGAGTATAGGGCCCATGTACACGGGTGGATGTGTATTTCTGCATGAACGCAGGTTGTCACTGGCGGAAGATCCCACGGAAATGACACATCTAATGTATTCACATTTAGGACTCATTCACATGGGCAGAAAAATGCTGTGTTTAGATGTGGAGTGTGCATTGATTTGTACGCCTCGAAACGCAGTGCTAGAGTCATCAACGAGCCGTACACACAGCTCCGCCTACCTGCCCGAATGTGCGTGCTGTTTAGCTGCGCAGAAAAAAAAATGTCGGACACCTCTGCGTTCACGGCCGCACAGATCTGCAGATTATATGTGCCTAGATGCTGACACATGTATGTTCTCATTCACATGGGCAGAAAAAGAAGCATTTTAGATTGTATTAAAGATCCTGCACACTAAGTAATTGCATTTATGTCCATACATTTGTAACATCTGCAGCAGCTGTGTCCTCCTTTTTTGTGCCCCACTAAACATCGCGCAGACTTTTGTATGTTGGCGTAGCTGTGTGTATGGGCTCTTTGATCACTAGAGCCACTTAACCACTTCCAGTCCGGACACTTATACCCCCTTCCTGTCCAGGCCAATTTTCAGCTTTCAGCGCTATCACACTTTGACAATTGCGCGGTCATGCAACACTGTGCCCATATGAATTTTTTAGCATTTGTTTTGAGATAAAGCTTTATTTTGGTGGTATTTATTCACCACTGGGATTTTTATTTTTTTTTGCTATGTAAATGAAAGTTCAAAAATTTTGAAAAAAAGTGTTTTTCTTATAAAAGTTTGAAAATAAATAATATTTCATCATAAATCTTGGCCAAAATGTATTCAGTTATCTTTTTAGTAAAAAAAAATAACCCAAATTAGTTTAATCAAAAATTATAATTTTTAAAAAAATTTTTTTACATTTTTTATATATTTTTTTTTTTTTACATACTGTCACCCTAGCAGTACATTGTCACCATGGTGACACTGTACTACTTGTGGGAGGTGATGAAGATTTTTTTTTTTTTACACTGCTTTTATACCCATAAAGGCTGTAAAAGCAATCATTTCTCCTTCTCTCTGGCTGCATTCTTGCAGCCATTGAGAAATACTGTGTGAGCTGTAATTGGTCACAGCTTGTCACATGGTACAAGGCTGTTGTGAATAGCCTTGTACCATGTGACCTCTGTGATCATTCACAGATTTCACACATAGTAAGCAATGATGTCAGAAGTGACATCTTGCTTACTACTCTTCATGTGATCACTGATTGGCTAATCAGTGATCACATGATCGGGACCTCGCACAGAGGTCCCATACGACAATCGGTGTTCCACTGTGTCCGGAGGACACAGCGGGCACCGGATCACGGTGCTGCGCTCTCCCAGGGAGCGCGCACAAGCAGGGGGCGGGGAGGCAGTTTATAAACGGCCACCCGACCCTGCACTGCCACTGTCTGACCGTTTATATACAACGGCCGGATGGGAGGTGGTTAAGGACCAGGTCTTTTTCTGACACTCCTTTGTTCAGAAGTACAAATCAGTAATCTTTGCTAGAAATTTAGAACCCCAAATATTTTTTTTTTTTTTTTTTTTTAGCAGAGGCCCTAGAGAACAAAATGTTCGCTGCATTTTTTTTATGTCACAAGGTTTTTGTGCAGCGGTTTTTCAAATGCAGTTTGTGGGGAAGAATACACTAATGAATTAAAAAATATATATATATCTCCCATGTTTTAAAATATGAAAGTCTATAAGACCCCAAATCTCTCCTCTACCTTTTAAAAGTAAAAACTAAAACAAATGGCATTGTTGATATGGTGCTGGAACTGGAGGCGATGTCATAATGTCACTCTTGTCCTCCTAGACCAGGGGTCTCCAAACTATGGCCCTTCAGCTGTTGAAGTACTTCAAATCTTTCTTCTTCTTATTTTCTTTCAGGTACTTATTTAGCGCCATCAATTTACACAGCGCTTTACATATATATTGTACATTCATATCAGTCCCTAACCCTCAAGGGGTGTACAATCTAAGGTCCCTAACTTGCATTCATACATACACATACTAGGGCCAATTTAGACAGGAGCCAATTAACCTACCAGCATGTCTTTGGAGTGTGGGAGGAAACCCATGCAGGCACAGTGAGAACATGCAAACTCCAGGCAGGTGGTGCGGTGGCTGGGATTCGAACCAACGACCTTAGTACTGCCAGTCGGAAGTGCTAACCATTTAGCCACTGTGCTGCCCATCATGTCTCTGCCTCTGGGAGTCTTGCCTGTGGCTGTCAGTCTTGCAAGGCCTCATGGGACTTGCAGTTTCTTCACACCTGGAGGTCCATAGTTTGGAGACCCCAGTCCTAGGCCATAGAGGTGAGGAGGCCATCTTTCCTTCATTCATCTCTATGGGCTGCCACCACCAGTGCTGGATCTGTTCCTGGGCTCACCGCTCAGCCAGGAACCACCAGAAAGGTGTGTATGTATGTGTGGGTGGGGGGGGGGGGGCGTATGGGTGATCCGCCGATCTGATCACTTTTAACAAAGTCCAGCATCTAAGGGAAAAAGATAATACCAGGGTTATGCCATCTAGCTGCAATCATAGCTCTGGTATTAAACGTCAAACTAATTATGTATTTTCCCAGTTGGGCGGTCAGTAAATGGATAGTGCTTCATTTAGATGTGTACAAAACTATCTGCTGTGCACAGCTAAATGCAGCATTCTTTTGCCCATGCGAATGAGCCCTAAATGTGTAGACATTCATTTGAATGAAAGATGGATTGTATGCATCTAAACGCAAGCCCTTTAGATGCATATTTTCTGCAGGGTCTTCTGCCAGAGAGAACCTGTGTTCATGCAGAAAATACATATATGCTCGTGTGGAGCCTTATTGACATCCTGAGCAACTTAAAGCAGTTGTAAATTCTTTTTTTATTCTATAACAAACAGGTTTATACATACCTGTTCTGTACGAAAAATTGCGCAGAATTGCGCCAAACCTACTTTCAGGTCCCCTGGTGGCACTCCTGGTTCCTCCTCTTCTGCAAGTGCCCCCATAGCAAGCCATTTACTATGGGGGCACTTGTGATGGTTCAATCCTGGTCCATAGACACAGACAGTATGGCTTTACCCTGCCCCCCTCTTCCTCATTACAGAATTGGACTGTCAGCAACAGGAGCCAATGGCCAGCAAAGTGTGTGAGACCAGGAAGTGAGAGGAGAGAGCCACTACAGAAGGGCACAGAGCTGAATCGGGTGAGTATAGGGGGGTGATACTATTACCTAAAACATTTTTTACCTTAAAGTGGTTCAAAAGCCTAATGGTTTTTTTTACCTTAATGCATTATATGAATTATGGTAAAAAAACCTGTGCAACAGAATCCCTGCCTCTGAGCGTCATTAGACACAGATACAGCTGCTCGGAAGCGAGCCTGCACGAGTGCCTGCAGAGGGGAAGTGGCTGCCTATGGGGGCACTCGCTGAAGAGGAGTAGCCAGAAATGCTGGCAGGGGACCTCAGAAGGAGAGGATTGGGGCTGCTCTGTGCAAAACCATTGCACAGAGCAGGTGGGTATGACATGTTTATTATTTTATTTAAAAAAAGGAACCTTTAATATCACTTTAATGGAAATGGCTTACTGCATATTTGGTTTGTTTACATTTTAATGTTTTCTCCTTCAGCTCATGATCTCCCCCCTCATCTTATGCCTGGACCCTATCCCAAAACAGCAGAAGAAAGGGCAGCTGCAGCTAAGAAATATAATTTGCCATTGGAGGACTATAAACCATACCCAGATGATGGAATGGGGTGAGCTTTAAAGTTGTGCTACACAAATGCAGTCTTTTATCGCTATTAAAGCTGCTTATCCATTGATAGATGCTGGTGTTTCTTCTTACATAAGTTTAGAGGTGTAGGTATTGTCCAGTGTCAGCAAGCTGGCCCTTGACAGCACCTAAAGGGCTTCTGTTGTATTTAGATTTGCGGTACCAGGCCAGTTTTGACCCAAAACTCGTCGGCTACACTCATCTATGAACTGTTTAAAGAAACTTCCTCAAATGTGACCACATTCCATACTAAGGGGTTGATTTACTAAAGGCAAGTAGATAGTGCACTTTGCAAGTGCAGTTGGTCCAGGGCTTAGTAAATGAGGTAAAGCTTCACTTTGCAAAGAATACCCAATCACATGCAAGGGATTTTTTTCTTCAAAATAGGAGTTTTACTTGCACGTGATCTTTTTCTGATGACAATATTGGGGGTTTCCCTTACTTTCTGTGACAGTGGTCAGCAGGACAAATAGAGAGGTGAATCTCCCCAAGGAGATACAGACGTTACTAAAAACTTGACAATGGGTCTAAACCTTCCACCCTCCATCCAAAACTAGAAAAAAAGCATCTCTGTTAAATTGTATGATATCTGTAGATGCGCTCCTTCAAGAAGCATCACATTCTTGTCATTTTATTCATCAAAGCTGATCAAAATGTTATGGTGCGCAGTAGTTGGTGGTTTAACCTTTCTGCTTATAGAGACTTGTCACCCATTCAGGGCTATGTAACAGGTTCTTTTGTAAGCACAGCCACTCCACCTGCTGATACTCTGAATTTGGACTGGAATTCAAACCTTGTGTGTTTTGCTGTCAGGTTAACTTCTCATTCCTTCTCCTCACATGATAGTGTTTGGGCTTAGTGAGTTGCCTGCTCTGGCCTGAGCGCTGCATTCTAAGAAGTTGGACGCTTCTCCTCACTTGGATGGACTGGGTATTTATAGATTGCTCCAATGGGAGGAAGTTGGATGCTCCTCTCTTGGATGGACTGGGTATTTACAGATGGCTCCAATGGGAGGAAATTGAATGCTCCTCACTTGGCTGGACTTGGGTATTTACAGATGGCTCCAATGGGAGGAAGTTGGATGCTCCTCACTTGGATGGACTGGGTATTTACAGAGGGCTCCAATAGGAGGAAGTTGGATGCTTCTCACTTGGATGGACTGGGTATTTACAGAGGGCTCCAATGGGAGGAAGTTGGATGCTCCTCACTTGGCCGGACTGGGGTATTTACAGATGGCTCCAATGGGAGGAAGTTGGATGCTCCTCCTCACTTGGCTGGACTGGGGTATTTACAGATGGCTCCAATGGGAGGAAGTTGGATGCTCCTCACTTGGATGGACTGGGTATTTACAGAGGGCTCCAATAGGAGGAAGTTGGATGCTCCTCCTCACTTAGCTGGACTGGGGTATTTACAGATGGCTCCAATGGAAGGAAGTTGGATGCTCCTCACTTGGATGGACTGGGGTATTTACAGATGGCTCCAATGGGAGGAAGTTGGATGCTCCTCACTTGAATGGACTGGGGTATTTACAGATGGCTCCAATGGGAGGAAGTTGGATGCTCCTCACTTGGCTGGACTGGGTATTTACAGAGGGCTCCAACAGGAGGAAGTTGGATGCTCCTCCTCACTTGGATGGACTGGGTATTTACAGAGGGATCCAATGGGAGGAAGTTGGATGCTTCTCACTTGGATGGACTGGGTATTTACAGAGGGCTTCAATGGGAGGAAGTTTGATTCTCCTCCTCACTTGGATGGACTGGGTATTTACAGAGGGCTCCAATGGGAGGAAGTTTGATTCTCCTCCTCACTTGGATGGACTGGGTATTTACAGAGGGCTCCAATGGGAGGAAGTTGGATGCTTCTCCTTACTTGGATGGACTGGGTATTTACAGAGGGCTCCAATGGGAGGAAGTTGGATGCTCCTCACTTGGATGGACTGGGTATTTACAGAGGGCTCCAATGGGAGGAAGTTGGATGCTTCTCACGTGGATGGACTGGGTGTTACAGATGGTTCCAATGGGAGGTAGTTGGATGCTCCTCCCTATGTGGATGGACTGGTTATTTACAGAGGACTGCAGTGGAGTGGTAGGACAGCACAACAAAGGTGAGTATAAGTGGTTGGTGGGGTTGTTCTTACAAGTGTGCCAGTCATCTTTTCCTGTGTGGGCAAATTTACAGATTCTCTTTAGGAACAGTGGGTGGTTGCTGTGGGGTGCTGTACTTTGCTCTATGCCTACTTGCAAGAGACCTCTGAAATGTTTAACGTGTCATGTATAACCATATTCAACTGTTAGAAGACCATTAAAAACATTCCATAAAATGTTTTTGTATTTGAAGAATAATTGTAGGCAGCAATTTGAATGTTGATAATATAGTCTTGTGTGTGTTTATCCTGTCACACACATTTGATGCTTTTATAATTTGGCAATGTCAAATGCATCCCTGTAAGGATGACTCTTTTTGCATTGATTTTCAGTTATGGAGATTATCCAATGCTTCCTGAAAAGTCACAGGAAGAAAGAGACGGATGGTACACATGGGACCATTCAGATTTTAGGACAAATTGGGGAGAGACGGTAAGCAGTTGGTTATTGTATTAAATTCGCAACATTTGTTTTTCACAATGCCATAACAGCAATTAAAGGATATGTTCACCTTTCTAAAAAAAAACAAAAAAAAAAAAAACAAAACAAAAAAAAAAAAAAAAAAAATATATATATATATATATATATATATATACACATCTTTTTGCAGGGAAAAACAAGATCTGCAATTCATTTTTTTATTAGGAGCCTGTAACTCATTGCACCCACGGTTTGTGGATCGCGGGTACGATATCAGGCTCCTGCCGACTGTCAGCGTAGCTGTCTGCCCATACCTCGTACGGGCATTCCGTTAATGAATGACAGGAATGATCAATTAACTACCTAGAGTTCTCATCAGTGCCCTAGTAGTTATTTGATAACTACAATCAGCCGCAGTGGTTGATGGTTGTTGTAGTTCTCCCATTCACATAACACTATACAATAACACATAACACAATAAATTATATGGCCGGGTGAGTGGAGCCCTGCATAGTGATGTTTTTTTCAATTGTGAAAGCTGTGTGTGGAGAGAAGATCCTCAGCCCACTGTCACAACAGGGACGTGGGGGTGCAGGGGCTGCTCAGTAACATGTTACACCCTAAATATGGTTATAACATGTTACTAAAGGTGAACTTATCCTTTAAAGTAAACTTATCCCATTTAAAATGTTCTGGCACGTGGTCCTGTTTGTATACATATATGCTGAAGAGTCTTCCAGCCTAGGGTTACTCGGGTAATGCTGCAGTATAGAAGGTTGACCTTTTGCCCACCGCTTTCTGCTATTACTTTTGTCAAAATGTCTGTCTGGCAGTCACTCTAAAAAACAGTAGTAAAGTTTGGGAGGATGGCGTACAGGTACCTGATTTCAAAACTCTGGCAGCCTATAACTGGAAACAGAAGTATGACATTTAAGTGATTTTAAAATCTGGTCATTTAACCCCTTCTGTACCTCGTCAACAGCATTGTGGTTACTGGCTAAGATTATGCAAATCTTGTGCATTTCTTTTCCCAAAGTATGCTATAGATGATTGTTGCAAAATCCTCTATAGAATGCCTCAGTTTGTCATCATTGTTTATTCAAATATTACTACAGGGCCTTTCCATGGATTAAAATACATGCCCCGTGGTACTTTGCAATGCACACATAAAGGGCAGGCAGGGGATGGGATCTTGCTAGTGGTGGAAGAGAATGGAGCCTGAGATATCACTTTAGAGTAGCAGCAGCTGGAAGAATGACCTGCCCTCCTGGGCTAACATAAATCTCTAGTAATTACTCATATAAACACATGTCATGTTGTACTTTAAAAATTCTTTGACTTGCCTACTGTGCTGAAAATACTTTAATCACTTCCAACACATTCCTGTTGCTAACAACTGCCCCTTGTCCCTAGCCCTGCTGACAGCCAAGGTCCTGGCAGGGGCCAGGGAAGATCTGCATTAAGTGTTTGCAGATTGTGTCTCTGACTTCCCCAGCCCATGCCTTTGCTAACAAGAGGGCCGGGGATTGGAAAGCCGCTGTGTGCGTCTGGAACGCACAGACTGAGGTGATTTAAAAGGAGAGGTTTGTCTTCAAGCACATCAGTGACATACATTTACAACCTGGCATATGCTTGTGTAAGTACTTTAAATTGAGAATCTAATTTTAACTGGCATGGAATAACAGGGTCGCTTTACAGAAGAATTGTAATGATTTTAGTTCAGTTTTTTTTTTTTTTTTTTTTTACTGAACAACTTTTGTGTTTGAAGTTTTCTATATCTGTTTATATACAGTGCATTTGTAAGATAATGTTTTAAAATGTTACAGCCTGATACTACAGTTTAAAGTCATTTTTTTCTCATTGATCTACACTCCGTATCCCATAATGATAAAGTGAAAACTGAATCTTAGAAGTGTTTGTAAATGTATAAAAAAGGAAAAACGGAAATATCACATTAGCATAAGTATTCAGACTTTGCAACAACACTTGAAATTTAGCTCAGGTGCCTCACATTTCTCTTTGCTGTGATGTTTGTACTTCTTGATTGAAATCCACCTGTGGTAAATTTAATTGATTGGACATGCTGACAATGCATACTGTATCAGAACAAAAGCCATGAGGACAAAGGAACTGCCTGCAGAGCTTAGTGACAAGATTATTGCAAGACACAGATATGGGGAAGGCTACAGAAAACTTTCTATTGCATGAAGGTTCCCAAGAGCTCAGTGGCCTCTATCATTCTCAACTGGAAGAAGTTTGACACAACCAGGACTCTTCCAAGTGCTGGTCGTCTGGCCAAACTGAGCAATTGGGGGGGGGGGGGGGGGGTTGGGTTGGGCCTTAGTAAGAGAGGTGATCGAGAACTCGATGGTTACTCTAACTGAGCTCTTGTGTGGAGATGGGACAAAGTTCTAGAAAGACAAGCATCACTGGAGCCCTCCACCAATCTGGACTTTATGGTAGGGTGGTTAGATGGAAGCCCCTCCTCTGTGCAAAGCACATGAAAGCCCTTTTGAAGTTTGCAAAACTCGGGTTAAAACCTAGGTGCTACATCATGCCACTTCCTCCTCCTTATAAGGTATTCATGTACTTCATCCTGCGGGCTAACATTTGCCTTGCCAAAAGCCCACTGCACTGGAGCTGGACCTGGTTTTAACATCGACCTAAGCATTCAAGTCTAGCTCTAGTTCAAGCACCAAAAAACGAACCACTTGATATAAGCAGATTTTTCTGTTGTCCCAGTTTCTAGGACATATTATGGCCTTTAAGCAGCCATCTTTGTCCAGGGCTCACAAACGCCCCACTTTTTTTCTTCTACTTCTGTTTCCCAACCAGAGTTGGACTCTAATGTGCCAGTCCTAAAGAATGCAGAATTAGAAGGAAATTGAGAGGCTACTGAAGCAGTGTCAGAGCAAACCATGGAATATTTCTCCCTTGCCTGCCACCACTTTGAAGAGGAAGCTTCACGCAACATGATTGCTAACATTAAAAAGCTCATTGCTTTTGGCAAAAGCATTGGTATTATTCAACCGAGCCTTTCTTTGTCTCACCATGTTCCTTTGACACAGAGGCCAACAAATACTTGTAAAACATTCCCTGTTTATGATCAGGTAGAATGTGCAGGCTATGAAGATTGGGTCACTCCTGAATGAATTTTCACTCCCTCCAAAAATATTTGCTGAATTCGCCCTAGTAGAAAAAGTGTTTGCAAATAGTAGGTTATCCCTGTGGTTGACCCTGCCATCTCTGTCATGAACAAACATCTCACTGTACCTAATGAAGATGTTCCTTCTTTCAGAGATCCTGCTGATGGAAAATGTTAAATGCCCTTAAGTGAGATCTAACACAGCAGTGCCTTACACTGTGATATAGCAGAGCCACTTCAGGCTCTGGAAGGATCCTAACAATATTGTCTGGTTTCACCCTGTTGCTTAACAGCTGGCTTGGCCTCTTGGCACATGGGTGAGAGCTGGAGCCAGCTGCACCTGCCCCTCCCCAACCAGATACTCTAGTGAGTGCTGGAGGAGCAGAACGGAGAGCAGTGACTGATAGTCATTGCCCTTTGCTCCAAGGAAACCAAGAGCTCAGTGGTTATGTGAACACTCCATTCTTGGTCTTCAAGCCAATGAGGGGAAGCTGTAACATAACACTGATGCTGCAGCATAGAGGTGAGTATGTTTTATTACCTATTACTCATACTTCTTTAAATTCTTGATGTACTGATTTTAAAAAGGTCTGGTAATCTACTGGTATATAATATGTGTTGTATGTTTTTTTTTGTTTTAAAAGCTGCACTGGGACTTTGATAAGTACCTCCGTCATCGACTTGATACTACACCAACCCGTATTCCCTATATTTCGATGCTTAAAACATACGTTGGCTTGCTGTCCATTATCGCACTTCTGTTATATATTGGACAAATATTTCCGATGTATACTCCTGTTGTACGTATTGCATATTTTTTTTTTACATTGTACAATCTGCTGTTTGGAGATATTGTATTCAGTGATCTAATATTGCATGCAGTTAAACTGAAACCAATGTAGCCAGTATTTATAATGACTGTGTCTGTCTGAAAAGGGTGAGAAAAGCTGTTAATAAGATTCAGGGTGTCTGCAAATATCTTCAGCGGCTTGCAGTCGTCCACTACTGCATCCACCAAATCCCTGGAACATTCTGCCAAAGGTCCAGCACTTGTAATCGTTTGAATATTTGCACAAATATTACCAGTCTGCAAGTGTGAAAAAGAAAATGTACATTGAGGCTTTTAAAGTTAATAATGCATACAGTTATTACAATACAATATATTTTGTAATGGTTATCCTTTAGGATACCAATAGTCATGAGATAACAACATTTTTAGCTGAGCTGATTATTTTATGTATGGGAATAGCTGCATATGGGGGTGGCCAGCCATGGTCAGTGGTAATTGGTGATGGGGCACGTAAGAAAACGTGTCCTGATTTCTGTTCTCCCCCAATAAGTTGGTGCTGACCACCTCTGCTCCCCACCACTTGACATACATTTTTAATGTTGGCTGAGCCACTCTTACAGATTTATGGAACACTCCATGGACAGCCTGCAGCTATAGTGATCTTGTGTACATAAGCGGCTGTTCTCTCAAGTCTCTGGGCAGCTTAAAGCCAGCTTAATATCTGTTCATTGCAATTTAGTACACAAATGAAGGGGCTGCTTTGATGCAACACCCATTAACATGCAACATAACAATCTGTAACAGACAAGAAGGGGTTTAATGTCCTCCACTATTACATTAATACTGGTGGGTGTTAAAGCCTATCTCTGGGCTGCCTCCCGCACTACACTGTGACTTACAGGAGCTTAGGGGAGCTGGTTTTACAGCTTGGAAGGGGCCTGTGAAAGTGGGGGAATCGGGTAAAATAAAATGTGTTTTGTTTTTTTTGTTTTTTAAATATTAAAAATTTAACATATTCAGATACAGTTTAACTCCACTTTAAAGATCAGAGCCTCAGTTTTATCTTTTTTTCTTTGCATGTAGACCTAACGCTGAGATTTCAGGTCCAATAGGGTACATGTAGAGGAATGGTAACCTAGAATCACTGCTGTCTGAACTACCCTGCATCTAAACACTGCAAACCAAAAATGCTATTTGATTCATTTTTAATATTCAAAGCAAACATATCCATCCGTCCATGACTCCATGCTTTATTTTGCTAATTAATTCCTTTGAAAAACACCCCCTAGCATTTCTGGCTATGGCTATCTTGAGTAAGGGCAGATGATTCATGTAGCATTTACTTCCTGGAATCCATCTGCCCTTGGCTCAGGTATTCATGCAGGAAGGTGTGTATAGTTGAGAAAACCCCTCCTGAAAAGTATGATTATCATTTGCCTAGGTATGGAAACCAGGAAGTAACTGAAGAAATGTAAAAAACAAAGTTTAAAACAAGTAAATATGATATACTTTCATATCTATTTACGAATATTTGCAGCATAAGGATTAAAAATGGTCAATGTTGATTGAGAGAGTGAAGTTCACTTTATCTACTTGTTGAGTGGTAGCAGTCGGCAGCACTACCTCTAGATTCAAGCCTACTGTATTGCAAATGCGTGTTTTTATCGTGCATGTTTTTTTTGTGTTTTCTCGTTACACACATTGGACAGCCCATTCATTTGAATGGACTGTCCTACGTGTTACAAACACACCAAAGAAGCTCATATGCCTTTTTGGAGGTTGAGCTCCACTTGTGTTTGTAAGTGCATAATTTATTGCATGTCTTATTGCTGCATTTGGTGTTTTTTTTTAACAATGAATGTAGTAAACCCTTAAAGAAAAAAAATTGCTTAGTCCCCAGGTGGTTAATGCCATAACATGCTAGTATACACTGCCTACTAGGATATTATGACAGACTCAACTGTCAAGCGGATCCCTCCAGTGGTGCACTGTCACCACTGCAGGAGCTGCCATCCCTACCCGGTCTTCTGCGTTCACACTCTCCGGCCATTTAAATGACCGGGCCACAATGACATCACAATCGCAGCACAGTGCTGTCTCTTATTGACGGCATGCTCAGTTTGCCCTGAATGCAGAGTGTACTGTAATTGTGCAGTCACTTCATTGGCTCCTGCCGATGTGAATATCTTTTAATGATGCATATTTAGTAGATATTCGACCTATAGCTGAGCCTTATTATAAACTTGCCTATAGGTACAAGTCAAAAATCTCACTTTACTACTGCTTTAAATCCCAGTTGTACTTATCTGATGGAGGCCGAGTTTGATCAAACAATTAAGATCTGTGTGAGCTATTTAAAACATGTCTGTAGATGGGCAATTTTATAGGCTGTCATTGGAAAAACATGGTTTCCCGCCATTGCTAAGCTCTCTTCTTGAAAATGCTGGCTATCAATCTGAACCCTTTGGTCTTAGTATTGTTAATTATTGAACTGGAAAAATTACATGCTGAAAAGGCTTTCTGACATTTCTGCACCAGTAGAAAAGCTGAGTGGGTCAGCATACAATAACATGTTCAGGAGGAGGTAAGCAGTAGCAGCTCCCTCATTTCGTATGACTGGTTTACATTTCATTTCTTATAACTTAGGTGTGTAAAATCCTATCTTGTTATTGCTCATGTCATATAATATATATTTAAAAATTATGAACTGAAATTGTCATTGTGTCTCATTTTAGGCTCCCAAACAATATCCATACAACAACCTGTACTTGGAGTATGGTGGGGATCCTTCTAAAGCACCTCCCGAGGTCAAAAACTATGAATTCAAATAGATTGGTTCAATCTAATTCCTGCTGTACACCTGATCTTATTAATACAATAAAGTGGCACTCTAAAAAGTATTTATTAAATCTATCTATGAATGTCTGTATTTTTGGCATTGGGGAATATGCTGCATAGTAAAACATGAAAGGATGACAGTAAATCCAGTGAGTGTGCAGGAGATGACTGTACTTGGTTAAGCATAGACTTCATCATTTTATAGGATTTACTCATCCTAAAATCTACTTGCTATTATCAGGAGGTTATTTAAAGTGTATCTTTGGTCAAAATGTGAAAACATATATTTCCACATTGTATTTCAGTTATTTCTACCCTATTCCAATTAATGTGAATGATCTTGAAAGTTGTAAAATTACTTTTTTGAAGATCCCCACACATTTAGGGGTTTATTTACTAAAGCTGGAGAGTCCAAAATCAGACTTCCTTCTGCATAGAAACCAATCAGCTTCCAGGTTTCATTGCCAAAGCTTCATTGAACAAGCTGAGGTTAGAAGCTGATTGGTTTCTATGCAGAAGGGAGTCTGATTTTGGACTCTCCAGCTTTAGTAAATAAACCCCTTACTGTCTTGAATTTTTCACTATGCTCTGTGAGTAGGCCATACTTTGTCAGATTTCAAAGCCTGCCTTCTGAACTACAGAGGTGCCAAGAGGAGTTCCAGGAGGCAGATTCAGTACAGGAATCACAGCTTGTAGAAATCCATGTACCATGGGATATGTGGTATGTAGACATTGAAAGTGAACAGAAGAAGAAAAGCTGCACAGCATTGAGCGATTTGTGAAAAGTGATAGCTAGCTAGCAGACAGGCACCATTCATAAAATGAGATTTTAGGATTGCATTGTAAAATACTGTTGTTTGTATCACTATTACAATGCTGATGTTATAAAATGAATGTGTCTGCTGTGCCAAGATATGTTACTAATCCAAATTATGAATGTTAAAGTGCACTCTATATATACTGTTCAAAAAACTTAAAGGAATACTTTAATCAGAGTATATCATCAAGTCAATTAAACTCCTGGAATATTGATCTGGTCAGGTAAGTAGTTTCAGCTGCTTTAGTGTTAATGAAATTAACAACAGGTGCACTAGATAGGCAACAATGAGACAACCCCCAAAACAGGAATGGTTTTACAGGTGGTCACTGACATTTTTTACCTACTCATATTTTCTGACTGTTTTTCACTAGTTTTGCGTTTGGATAGGGTCAGTGTCACTACTGGTAGCATGAGGCGATACCTGGACCCTACAGAGGTCGCACAGGCAGTCCAACTCCTCCAGGATGGCACATCAATACGTGCCATTGCCAGAAGGTTTGCCGTGTCACCCAGCACAATCTCAAGAGCATGGAGGAAATTCTAGGAGACAGGCAGATACTCTAGGAGAGTTGGACAGGACCGTAGAAGGTCCTTAACCCATCGGCAGAACCGGTATCTGTTCCTTTGTGCAAGGAGGAGCAGGATGAGCTCTTCCAGAGCCATACAAAATGACCTCCAGCAGGCCACTAGTGTGAATGTCTCTTACCAATCAGAAACAGACTTCATGAGGGTGGCCTGAGGGCCCGACATCCTTTAGTGGTCCCTGTTCTCACTGCCTGGCACCATAGAGCTCGATTGGCTTGAACATCAGAATTGGCAGGTTTGCCACCGATGCCCTATACTTTTCACAGATGAGAGCAGGTTCACCCTGAGCACATGTGACAGATATGAAAGGGTCTGGGGAAGCCATGGCAAATGTTGCCTGTAACATCGTTCAGCTTGACCGTTTTGGTGGTAGGTCAATTTGGTCTAGGGAGGCATATGCATGGAGGGACACACACACCTCTACAGGCTAGAAAATGGCACCCTGACTGCCATTAGGTATTGGGATGAAATCCTTGGACCCATTGTCAGAACCTACGCTGGTGCAGTGGGTCCTGGGTTCCTCCTAGTGCATGACAATGCCCAGCCTCATGGGGTGAGCCTGCCTCATGCAGGCAGTTCCTGGAGGATGAAGGAATTGATACCATTGAATGCTTGTCTGACCTAAATCCAATAGAACACCTCTGGGATATTATGTTTTGGTCCATCCTTCACTAATAGGTTGCACCTCAGACTGTCTAGGAGCTCAGTGATGCCCTGGTCCATATCTGGGAGGAAATTCCCCAGGACACCATCTGTCGTCTCATTAGGAGCATGCCCCGATGTTGTCAGGCATGTATACAAGCCATACAAACTACTCAGTACCATTTTGAGTTGCTGCAATGACATTTCAGCAAAATGGACTAGCCTGCTGCATAGTTTTTTCACTTTGATTTTCAGGGTTTCTTTGAATTCAGTCCTCTGTAGGTTGATCATTTCCATCAAACGATGGGGCATCCTTACCCTCCTAACACATTATATCAGTATAGATATCCAGCATGATATGTTTCCCCATTGAGATCTGATGTGTTTTCAAGGTGTTCTTTAATTTTTTTTGAGCAGTGTAGAGTACTATGAGACTGAGGTCCCTGACCACTGTGTTGTATAAATATATCAGACTATCTTTATACCCAGGATTCATGTTTTCCTAGTGTTTCTACTTCAGTCCAATTTACATAGAAGATTTTTGGACAAACGACAAAGATGGAATGGTGCTTATGATGCAGCAATGACAAAGAGCCTGATGATTCAAAGCGCTGTTACAGAGATCTGGATTCTGTTGTCCACACCATCCAGTCTGGTTCAGACTTTTTGGGTAGGCTTGAATCTGATTGGTGTTAGAGGGAATGTTGTTCCAGTTTTGGGTAATAATTGATGCATCAGGATTCATGATTACAACATCATAACAAGTCAGAAAAATAGTCTATTTCTAAACATTACATCAATGAATGATTCACTGATCTGCTGTAAACAGTACAGTCATCAATCAAATCACACATGACTAGAATCCTGCCTACATCTAATATTAGCCGATAGTTTATATGTAAAGGTGCATTGTCCACATCTTGCAAACACCAGAACAGGGTCTCTGCATCAGATTTAGACAAGAAACAAAACCCTTATTTTTCAGCTAAGGATTTTTTTCCTTTTTTCAAAAGGAAAGGACTGAGCAGAGCCTGTCATTTGACTGAACAGCACAGCGTCCTGAGGCTATGGCTTTAGTTTGTAAATTATGACCAGCTAGGTATTGGACAAAGTCTCATAAAAATTGCAAGCAGGCAGGCTCTTAATTGCAGAAGAGAATTCCTTTTTCTGCAATAAAATACTAAAAAAAAACCTACCAACCTGCTCAGTGTTCCTTACAATGTACACAGGGAAAGCTTGTCTGTTGCCCCTGTTGCAGCCTTCACCAAATGGTAAATGAATTCGTACAAATAGAAGTACATAGTGGGCATTCACATTGTTTCATGGTAAAAACAAATGTTTTCACAGTTTCCGAGACTGCTGATCAATGCTTTACAAATACTCTAATAGATGTCTATTTATTTAAATGCCCTCTAAACCCCTTTTGAGTGTGCATATGATGGGACCTTTTGTAACCCCAAAGAATGGTGAAACTGCCAAAATCAACCACTCCTCTCTTCACTGCATCATGTCTGCTTTAAAACTACAAACCTTTTAGCAAGGAATAATCGCGGCCTCGGCTGTCAATCACCGGGTCCCTGCCGGCACTCGGTGATTGACAACCAAAGCTGCGCATAGCAGCGCACGCCCCCCACCCGGAAATGCAAAATTACGCATATATACGTGATTTTGCACACCCCTGCTGCCCTGTAGCAATATATCTGCTACAGGGCGACGGGAAAGTGGTTAACCTCCTTGGCGGTATGCCCAAGTGTAGCTCGGGGTAAAATTTCAGTACCAAGAGCGGTAACCCCGAGCTACACTCGGGCTTATTATGCGGCGTTGCTCAGGGAGTCCCTGCAGCACTTACCTTGTCCTTCACTCCCGCAATGTGTCCCCTGCAGCGTCCCTGGCCATCTCTGGCCGATGCCAGCATCCGGCTTCCATGTTCCAGTCCCTGTGACGTCGGGACGTACGGGCGCCGGAACTGGCGGCAAATTTGAAATTTTTTAAAAAATTTATTTTTTTTAATTATTATATAGTAAAACATTGCTGTTTCAATGCATTTCACATATATTTTGTCCCTACTGCTTTGTCCTGTGCCCTGCCTGCATTTTGACTGTTCTTTCTGCCTGGAAACTGAGAAACGTCCATGGCGTCCAAAAAGCGTCCCTTTATGTCAAAAGCGGTTGTAGACCAGCTAGAGAACAGCGATAGTAAATCAGAACCACTTGCAGAATTGAGTGACAATGATTTGTGGGGAAATTCGTCATCAAACAACGATTTTGCGACTTTGCTCAGCGATGTGCGAATTTGCCTCTGTATTTCAAATTTCAGTGTTTTTGGTTTGATTATATTATTGAATTAAATATATTATTATATTAATATTTTTTTATGATTATTTATTAAAATTATAATTTATGATTTCGTGTTTCAAGTTTTATCATATTCAGAATGTTTACTAGACTCTTGTTCGGACAGATTTCAGTGAGTTATTCCTAAAAATTACAGCCTACAATAAAAAACTACATATTTCCATGCAAAAAAATGGTACTGCTTTCAGCACAAAAAATTGGAAATCATACCGCCAGGGAGGTTAAACTACATGAGTAAGGTCTCTCTCAGGCAAAGATCAGAGTTTCAAGACATGCTGTTAAAGCTCTTTTGAAGAAGCAGGCAACATTGAGGATTGTAAATGCAGTGATCATCCAAGGAAACTTAATGCAGATATGACGTATCATGCTTGCTTCCCTTTGAGATCAGAAGATATCCAGCAGTGCCATCAGCACAGAACTGGCAGAAACAAGTGGGACCCAGGTACACCCATCTAGTGTCTGGAGTAGTCTGGCCAGTAGTGGTGTTCAGGGAAGTATTGCAGCCAAAAAACCATACCTCTGCTGTGGAAACAGGGTTTCAGGTTTGAAAAAAGATCAGTTCCCCTTTCGAAACACATAACCACACTCCC